GGCTGCAAGCGATTGGGAGTCAACTTTAGAGGAAGCTGACAAGGTTGCCTTTTCACTTGTCCGCTCGTCTTGCCGAACGACTTTGCCACATGGCATGTAGATCCACCGCTCCTGTGTGGGCGTTTGACACTTTGGACCTTTTGCTATATACACACCAACAATATGAGCGATGAACACATATGTTTCCCTTGACCTATGATGTAGCCCTCTTGTTTTGCAACCCTTGTCCCAGCAACTGAAAAACAAACCTTGGCGTGACGCCCCACGCAGTCCTCAGGGTCGTCAGGAAAGTCTTTGTCTTCATAGTACAAGCCAGCTTCCAATCTTTTCTTTCCCAACTCCTCGAACTTCTCTTTGGGCAATTTTGCCTTGAGGTCTTTGGCCTGCGCGGCCATCCATTGAGCCCGTGACAGGTTCACAGACTCTTGCTCTTGTTGCACCTGGAGCAAGACTTTGTCCCACTTTTTACCACAGTCAAGCCACAGTCCAAATAGGCTTAGCTTCTGCTTCTTGAACTGGCCGTGCAGCTCCACTGGGAAAGCCTTTGACTTGGCACTCCGGTCGAAAGCATCCCAATCCTTTTTGCAAGTTACCGAATTGCGGATTTGACCCGCCGTTGCTTCTGTGCTTTTGGCAGCAACGACAAGCTGTTCCTCATTTTTTCGCTTCTTGGACTTTGGTTGCTTGGCACCTTCACCTCCACTGTCTTCATTTTCACCTTCCTCCTCATCTTCTCCTTCTTCACTTTCTTCACTTTCTTCACCTTCTTCATCCTCCTCCCCCTCAACTTCCATCTCGCAAAGACTGGCTTCCTCCTCCCCTTCTGGCTCTTCATCTTCAGTCGCAGCCTCTTCTGCTTCTTCCTCCTGCTCGTCCTCCCCCTCACCCTCCTCCTCTTCTTCTACCTCCTCCTCCTCCACGTCTTCATCCTCCTCAACCTCTTCATCCTCCTCATTTGTTTTGGCGCCTAGTCGCATTGCCATCCTCTCAGCCATAGCATTGCCTTCCTCCGGCGAGCCCATCATGTTGCCCAAGAAGTCAGACATGTTGCATGCATCCAGCTCAGCATTGATGTCCGCTTTTCTGATTGCTTCTTGCAGATCCTTCCGCTCTTTGAGGGCCTGCTCAGCCTGGTGCTTCCTGGCTTCATACCCAGCGCTAGCTGAAGCACTGCTTGAAGCTGTAGTGGACAGGCTTGGATCAGGCGACTTGGAAGGAATCCTTTTGGGCGGTGGCGTCTTTAGAGCCTGGTCTTGACGGCCGCCGACTTCCTCGGGACTGGCGCCTCTGGTGTTGGCGCAGCCTTCCCAGCGACAGTGTTTTCCCCTGCCGCTTCTGCCTTCCTCTTCTTCTCCTTATCATCCTTCTGTGTCTTCTTCTTTTCTTCGGTTTTCGATGCCTTCTCTTCGCTGCTCTTTTGGTGTTCTTTCTCCTTGTTCTTCTCCTCTTTCTTGTTCACCTTCTTCTCGCTTGCCTTTTCCTTTTCTTTCTTGTCTTGACCCCCCTTCTGAGCTGCCTTGCCCTGGGTTTTACCTTTCTCCTTTGCCTCTTTCGCTATAGCTAGCAGCTTTGATTGGATCTTCTCTGCCATCGGGTTCTTCTTGGGCAAGACTTTCCTGGGCACCGCCAAAGCGAGCTCCAATTGTTTCTTGGCCTGTGAAGCTTTTGCGGGGTCGACAGACGCCTTCTCTTCAGACTTACTTTTTTTAACTGTTTGATCTTTCACGGTCTTCTTCTTCGCTGCCTGCTTCTTGGCGGCTGCTTTCACCATGGTGCAAACACAGGATCTGTTGGATCCACAGCCCCCAAACCAAAATGCTGCACGGTCACTTGCACAGTGCTTCATGGGGACAGATGTAGGCTACACATCGCACGTGTGAACACCCTCCAAAAGAATGCCAGACACGAGATGTTGGATGTGTTTTTACCTATTCTGGAGACCAGATACAGGGCGCACGGTTTCTCGACAAATCGCACGTTTTTCTCGGCAAATCGCACTAGTGAAATGTCACAGAAAAACACTATTTTTTTCCAACTCTTTGACCCATTCTTGGACAGGCCCAGACTGCTGGCCTGCTGATGGCTTTCGGTTCAGCCGCAGCCTCTTCATGGCCACCTGGCCAGATTGGGATGGGGATCTCATTGATTTAGGGGCTGGGGCAAGACTTGGGCTCCCCTTTTTTTTAACACCCCAACCTCTTTTTTTTAACCCACCACTTTTTTTTAACCCCCCAACCCTTTTTTTTAACCCCCTTCAAAACAATTGTTTTTAACCCTTCAGACCTTTTCTTTTTAACCCCCCCGACCTCTTTTTTTTAACCCCCGGACCCTTTTTTTCTCACCCCCGAGCACTTTTTTCTAACCCCCAACCTTTCTTTTTTAACCCCTGACCTTGCTTTTTTAACCCTTGACCCTTGCCTGCGAGTGCCTATGCCCCTCGGACCACTTACACAGCGCCCACCCAGCACGCTGCGCCAGCCCACTTGCCGTGATGACGCGGGGTGTCACGCTGTTGCGCGGCTCGGCTCCATAGCGGCAGCGCGCCTGTAGACACCTACCCCTCCGAAACTGGAAGACTTGCCTTGTCTCACCCAGATTTGTCATCTTGTGCTGGACGACGGGGGGCGACGCCTGCGCGCGTGTTGAACAGCAACAACAACAACAACAGCAAGAACAACAAGAAATCCAACTTTTCTTTCTTTCACACGCACTCGGATGAGAAGCGCCGCCCTGCGGCCATAGGCCGGACTCCTGTTGGAGATCGTTTCTGTATTGAGGCATGGGCATGGATGGAGGTAATCAGCCGTTCCAAGCGGCTGGGAGTACCCTCAACATCCAAAAGGTCTAAGGTGGAGGAAAGCTCGGTCAAAATCAACAGTGTTGAGGCCAAGCATCAAAAAGGTCAATCGGTGAAGTGAGTGACATTCACCCTTCATCAAAACTAAGGAGGGCCGAACAAAAAAATCAAGTCCGCTCTCACTTGGCCGTCTGCCATCTATCAGCATCATCTCATCAGCTGCCCCAGCGGCCGAAGGCTGCCCAGCGCATTGCAGCGGCAAGCGCAACCATCAGCAGCAGGTGGAAAAGCTTAAGAAATCCAACAACAAATCCAACAACAACAACACCAGCAGCAGCAGCAGCAGCAACAAATCCAACAACAACACCAACAACAACAACAA